TACAGTGAGGCTATGTCCTTTGTAACTTGAAATATTATGAATGACAATGCATTTAACCTAGTGCACATCACAGCGTTGCTTTCACACCATCATAAAATCAAAAGAAATCACAAGTGAAACTATATTAAGTCACAGACTATCTGTATAATTCAGTGACAGAAATACAACAGGAAAATCTCTAAACATTTGACTATTAAAAAGCACACTTCTAAATAATGTGTGAGTCAAAGAGGAAGTCTCAGGGGAGATTTTAAAAATAGAACTAAATAAAACTGAAAACACAGCCTATCAAAATCTGCAGGACACCCCTGAATAAGTGCCAAGAGAGAAAATTATAGTAATAAACATATTAGGAAAGAGAGGTTTGTTTCAAGTGTGTAAAGGTTGTCCAGCATTCTAAAATAAATCAGTGCAATCCATCATATAAAACAGATAATGAAGAAAATCAATTGACACAAAAAGTCACTAACAAAATTCAACACCCAACTGTGGTTAAAAAAAAACCCAAACAAACAAAACCCTCTCTGAACCCATGGAAAAGAAAGGAATTTCCTTCATCACAAAACCTGCCGCTAACATCGCACCTAATGGTGAAGACTGAATGTTTTCCCTTTAAGATCAAGAGTAAGCAAGGATGCCCATCCTCACCACTTTTACATTAGCCACTGCAATAAAGCAAGAAAAGAAAATTAAAGACATACAAATTTGAAAAGAGGAAATAAAACCAATTGCAAGTGACATGATCGTGCACATAGAAAATCCCACAGAATCTACCAAAAAATAAACCTCAGGAAATAATAAGTTAAGTAAAAATATTATCATTGATAGCATTGTTACTAACCATAAAGTAAGAGAATTTTACATCAATTTTGTACACATAATGACAATGAAAAAATAGAAACCACAATGAAAACACAAGACCACATGCAATTGCTCCAAAGTAAAGGAAATACTTAGGTATAAAAACAAAACGTACATAATTTGGGTAATGAAAAGTGATAAAAGGAATCAAAGAATACTCAGGCCTTCTTTGATAAATGGAGAGACATACCATGTCCATGGACTGGAGTGCCATTCTAGAATGTCTATGGAAAGAGAAAGGCCATAGACTAGCCAAGACAGTTATGAAAATATTTATAGGAGAAATCACTCTTTCCAATAGCAAGATTTACATATATCTGCAGTAAAGGAGAAGGAAGAATAGAAACAGATTAATAGAATGAGACAGAGAACTCAGAAACATATTCACACAAATATGCCCAATTAATTTCTCAGAAAGGAGTGAAAGCAATTCAAAAGGGAGAGCCTTCTGAATCGCCTTCCAGCTGTAAACGGTGCTGGAAGAACTAGACAAGTTTTTTAAAAAATGAATCTGCTACTAAACTCCACACCTTCAACATAAACGAACTCAAAATGGATCATGGACTTAAGTGTAAAAAGTAAAACAATAAAAACTACAGGAAAGAACATAGGAAAAGTCTTTAGGATCTCAGTCTAAGAGAAGAGCTTTTAAACTTGACACCAAAAGACATTATAAACGGCAATTTTATAAACTGAACTGAGGGAAAATGTTTCCAAAGTATATATCCAACAAGCCCTTACATCTGGAATATACAAATAACATTTAAAACTCAATAGTAAAAACACATTTAAAATGCTTATATGTTCATAACACTTTTACCTGTAATAGCCCAACACTTAAAACATTTTTTAACCCTTCAAAGGATGAATGCTTAAAAAAACCATTCCATCTTACCATGTAATGTTATTCAGTAGTAAATATATATATATATTTACATTTAAAAATTGCATAAAACCCTAGCTGGGTGGCTCTGTTGGTTGGAGCATCGTCCCAAACACCAAAAGGTCGTGGGTTCGATTTCCAGCGAGTTTGAGGGTTTGAGCGCCAGTTGATGCACATACAAGAGGCAACCCATCGATGTCTTTCTCTCACGTCGATTCTCATTCTCTCTCTGTCTCTCTTTCTCTCTCTCTCTCTCACCAAAAAATGTATCCTCAGGTGAGAATTAAAAATAATTAAATAAATACTTGCATAGAGCCGTACACCCTCACACACAAACTATTGATACATGCAACAATTTGGACGAACCTCAAGGAAATCATGCTGAATGAAAAAAGAAAGCAAGCAAGCCAGTTGCAAAAGGATGCATGCTTCATTATTCCATTATAAAGTTCGGTGAAGCATCATAATCCCAGAGGAGAACAGGTTAGCAGCTGCCAGCCCTCAGGGAGGGTGGGCGAGGGGAGAGCGTGCCCACGCAGGGCTTGTCACAGGGACGGTGGGGACAGTGCAGGTGCGTATCTACCTTCATGGTGGCGGTGGCTACCCAGGCTACATACAAAAAGTTGCATAGCGCCCCCGCCCCCCGCCCACACACACTCTCCCGAATGAGTGTGTGCGGAGCCGCTAAAACTGACTAAGCTCCGTGCGTGGTGCTCACATCAGTCCCACGGTGCGGATCCTGAGCCACAGCTGTGTAACATGTTACCCCTGAGGGAGGCTGGGGGAGGTGCAGGGGACCTCCCTGTACCTTTCTGTGCAGCCTCCTGGGAATCTGTAATTCCCATCTCATAACAAAAGGTTTTCTTAAATAGATAATGGAACCAGTGCGTTATAAGATGGAGCCGCGGGAGGTGGGAGGCGGGGTGGGGAGGGGTCGGGGGGCGGTGCCTTATTCTCAATGAGCCAACATCAATGACTCAGCACTTCTGGGTTCCAACACTGTCCCCCTGATTCCTGCCAAAATAGAAGCCATGTTGAACTGGCTTCCTTACAGGACTTTTATAACCTCGTGATGGTTGATGGGAGGAAGGAAAAGTTTTTTGTTGTTGTTGTTTGTTTGTTTCTGAATAGCTATTAATAATGACCATTAGCTAATGAAAGATGAATATTTACAAATTATGTCATTTTAAAAGGCTGTAAAATTATACCAAAAAAGATGAACAAACCCTAGAATAGCAGAGGCGTCTTTTCAAAATGACCACTGGACCATATTTTTTTACTACTAGTGACTGTAACTGATTAAAGCACGCTGAATTTATTAAATGCCTAAGTTCAAAGGGACAGTCAGAAAAACAGGAGAGCGACATGAAGTAAACTCAGTGGACACGCCTGGAAGTTGCTAAGGCAATCATTCATTCATCACCATAAAATCAGTAATCAAAGAAAAATCATTTATCCTGTGTTTCTCGCGTAAACTGTGCTTCACATGAGCAGAATAAGGTAGAAGAAAGTTCATCAATACGGGATGACTCATTTATAGGTGCGGATGAAATGACAGAACGTTTACCGAAACGTGAAGGAAGTAGTTGGGTGACGCCATGGTCCCTGGTGGATAGCGAGACGATGAGGAGCAAAGGTGACAGGGAGCCTGGCCATAAATGCGCGGGGTTTCCCCGCCTCCGGTCACTGAGTAATCTCAGCATCCCTAAAAGGGGACATCAGGCATCGCACTCTTCCTCCTGACCCAGCTCGAACCCCCAGCACACTGGCGAAGTGAGGGGGCCCCAAAATTGTGCCTGAAGGCTTCAGGTCTACATTGTCGTCTGTAAGGAAAAAAGGGGCAAGAGCGATGATATGGGGTGTCCGCTAGGTGGCGCCATCGCGCAGCCTTGCCCGGCGGGGCCGCCGGTGGCGCCAGCAGCTGGCGCCAGCAGGTGGCTGTCAGCAGGTGGGCCTGGAGAAGAGCCCGCTGCAGGGCTGCAGCCTTGCCTGGCGGCTGGGTACCCGGCTTCTGGAATGTTCCCCATGTTACCTAGCAATTAGCAGGCCTGTGGGCCCGGAGCGCGGCGCTCTGCGGCACCAGTGAGCCAGGGCTGTTCGTATTGTACAAAAATGTGATTCATGGTGAACTCCCGCTTCCCTTCGGAAACCCGGGGCTTTGGTGGGGTGAGGGGACCTACGCGACAAGCCCCCAGCAAACATCCCGGGCTGAGTGTCAGGCAGGTGGCTCCTTCTGCAAGAGGAGACTTTTCCGAGTCTGCTCCTGAGTTTCCCAGACTCTGCCTAACGAGCCTTTTCCCTTCGCTGGTCACGGCGATAAACCACAGCCCCGAGCACTGTCCCTGAGCCGGGGCCCTTCTAGAAAGTCACAGAGCACGGGGCGCTCATGGGAACCTCGAAACAAAAATAAAACAAGCGGACGAGGATAGGCCTGCCCTAGAATTACAGAGACACAGAGACGTACCAACCAACCCAGGCAAGCGGCCCTTGTTGGACACTTGGGGGCTCGACTCCCTTGGAGCCAACATTCCTCGCCAGGTAGATTTCTGGAACCTTCCTGGCCACATTCTAGAACATTCCTCCCACTGCCTGTCTCCTTGGCAACGCCCTTTGTTGTCTGATCCCAAGCTCGCTAAGAAACATCTTTCGGAGCCACCGGCGACTGACTCTCAGGCCTGGCTTTTGGGAGCCACGTGCAGTGCGTCGCCGTGGATCCGGCTTCACGGTTGAGCCCCGGCTCAGACACTTCCTGGGCTTCGCTTCGTGCTCAAGAGCGACAGCCACGCGACTTCCCAGAAACACGAGGTTGACAGGACCTGAGGTAGGTTGAGTGGATAGGCAAATGACCCCCCGCGTGCACAGCCAGGGACAACCGAGACCCCACAGGAGGGGCGATCACCATGTGCCACCTTACAGACGAAGACCCCGTGCCCCAGAGACGCTCGGCACGTGTCCTCTCAAGGTCATCACCCGCGAAAGCGGCGGAGCGAGGGTAAGAATATGACGTGCACATGCCGTCTTCTGTGGTCAGGTTTTGCTGGTTCCTGACAAACATCTTGCAGGTGCAGTCGTTGACATTCAGCAAAAATCCCAGTTTTCCTCCTAAAATGGCGGAAATGTCGCTTCCTGGAAAAGACACTGTCGCCACCTGCGGGAGCGGCGGGGCTGACGCCACCCAGCTCACCCAGCGCGCCCAGCAAGTTAAAAGCCACCGACCTACGGGCACGGACAAGTCTAGGGCAGGCACGGAGCTTACCTCGAATATAATGAGCACGTAGACACCGGCGAGGATGACGGCGGCGACGGTCACTTGGGCCTCCACGCTGGCGCGGAGGTGCTGGTGCGCCACCAGCAGCGGGACGACCTGCGTCCGCTGGAGCGCGGCGCGGATGCTGATGGAAACGCCCTCTCTGCGGAGCGAAACGACCACCTCAGCGCGGGTGCGCCACGCAGACCTTCCGACGACAGGTCGAGCGTCCCGCTCCGTGTACTTCCAACACGAGTCGCCCGTGGCCGTGGCCAGAGCCCCAGGGCCCCCAGTCCCGGCCGACGGCGAGCCCTGCGCACAGGAGAGCGCAGGATACAGCGCCCCCCTGCCTCGCCGTGGCCACTGCTGGCGCCATTCCTACAACGTACAGGGCGCGGGGACTCGCACATGCGTTCTAGCTACGTTCTCTCCTCCACCTGACTTCTCTGCCCGTTTGCAAATAGAAAAGGGCCGCGTGCAACCTGAGGACACACACACAGGTTGTCGCTGGCAGTGGGACGAGCCACAGAGCATGCGAGAGGTCGACAGCGCGTGGCATGCTGGACTCCGAAGCCTGTTTCCAAATCCTGTGTCGACTTTCACACCCTCGGCCGTTCAGAATGCGGCTGTCTTTGGCGATGGGGTCGTTACAGAGCTGAGTGAGCAAAACGAGGTCACTCGCTGGCCCTAATCCAAGATGGCTGGTGTCCTTATAAGGAGATAAGGACACAGACGCACAGAGGAACGGCCCACAGGGAGAATATGGCTGTCGACCCACCTAGGAGACAGGCCTCAGAAGACCGGCACCCGGCTGTCACCTTGAGGACGTACATTTCGCGTAAGCCACCCAGCCTGTGGCCTTTGTCATGGCGGCCCTGGCAAACGCATACGGCCGCCAAGAGCACAGGTTAGTTAATACAGGGAGGCCTTCGTGAGAGAAAAAGAGCAAGAATCCTAACACGCCCTGGAATTTCCCATTGCAAAGCGTCATGATACAATATTAATGAAATTAATGTGTAAGCTATAAAATACCATGTGCTTGTAAACGGGCCCTCGGATCAATGCTGCCATTTCCTGCACGTGTGGCCTTTGAGTTCATGGTCTGCGTAGGAGGAGCACCTCGTCCAAAGCACATAACTGATCTGGTGCCATTTGTCCTCAAAATCAGAGCCACGCAGGTCAGACTCCTTAAGGTGAGCGGGTCCCAGAGGACGCGCCCCACCCTCCTCGCCCCTGCCCAGACCTCGATCACGTGAGACCTACCTGCTCGGAACCTCAAAAGTCCGGCTGACCACCAGGCGCTCGCTCCGCCGTGGGTTTAAAAATACCGTCCAGTTATGAGTGACCTGTAAAAGTCGAGGCGGAAAATTGCGGGCAGGCCTTGAACTCGAACGTCCCCGGGGACCCAGTGCTACGCAGTGCAGGTGCTTGTTTGGAATAAGGAGAAAGAGAGGACCCGGGGGTCCTTTTCACGATTCCCACATCCCTGCCCTGCGCAGTGCAAGCTGGAAATTTCCACACTGTGGAGGCCTTTGTTTTAGAAAAATGGTTTTCTGAGCCTGTGGGGCAGGCAGCGCAGGAGCAATGCTGGCTTAACACTGCTACCCACATGCAAGCTGGAGCAGGTGGGAGGGAGGTCCCAGGTACAGTGGCCACCGCCCGGGGCCCCCCCTGAGCTGGACAGTAAAGATGGAAGGGGGGCAGACACGAGCAAAGAGGAAGGAGGAGGGGCCAGGGAATTTTCCATGGCAGGGCAGGCATCTTGCTGCTGCCCACAGTCATAAAGGACATTGAAAATAGGAACCAGATTGGTCGAAGCCTGAATGAGAGCCCTGGCCGAGTGGCTCCATTGGTTGAAGCGTCATCTCAATACGCCACGGTTGTGGGTTCGATCCCCGGTCAGGGCGTATACAGGAGGTAACTGATCAATGTTTCTCTCTGCATGGATGTTTCTCTCTCTGTCCCTTCCTCTCTAAAATCAATAAACATATCCTTGGATGAAGATTAACAAAAAAACCCTCACAAGCTTGATTTTTATAGAAATGGTGTTTGTTAATTGACTTAGAGAAGGGGAAAAAAAGAATTTCAAAGAGCAAGAGATGACAGCTTCCCTGATAAGGGGCCCATAGCCTTACGGCTCTCCATCCCATTCGTTCAAGAGGAGACTCAGTTTATAAAGAAATGAGGCGAGTTTTTACAGTTCTCTTCAAAGAACGTTTAAGTATGACCTGTTGTGGCCGCCGCCGGGAGCCGGGAGCAGCATCGGCCTGGGTCACCTCCACCACCACGTGATCTTCTCTCCCAGGACGACTCGGGACACCGGCCACCAGGGCCCCTGCCAGGTCCACCTGGAGCAGCGTGGAGTCAGCTCGGCCACTGAGGTTCACAGCTGGGGACACGTCAAGGTGGACCACGGAGCAAGCAGAGGCCTAGAGACCCCCACCCTCTCCCCCCGCCCCTGTGCACACCCTCCTTGGGAGATGCATAAAGCAGAGCCAGCCCTTTCCTCCAAGTTGACGGGCAGCGGCTCTGACTGACCACGCCCCATCTCTCCAGCCCCTCCCTCCCTGCACGAGCGATAGGTTTTGCTTTATCAGACCGTGTGCATTCTGAACGCTCTGCGTGAACATCTAAGTGGTGGCTCTCTGTCTCCCTATCATCTCCGCTCCCACTTCCACAGTCAGCTTCCAGCTCCTGTGGAGGGGTAGGCTGCAGGCTGCGTGAATGAACAGATACACCACGTCCCCATCCACACCCAATCCTAGGGCGCCAGGTCTCCACTGGGGAGACAAGAAGTCATGAAGGCAGTTGAAAGTAAGAATTCTGACAGCAGCCCTGGCTGGTGTGGCCCAGTAGATTGAGCACCAGCCTGCGGACCAAAGGCTCACCGGTTCGATTCCCAGTCAGGGCACAGGCCTGGGTTATGGGCCAGGTCCCCAGTAGGGGGCGCGCAAGAGGCAACCACACATTGATGTTTCTCTCCCTCTCTTTCTCCCTTCCCTTCTCTCTAGAAATACATAAATAACATTTTTTGAAAGGTCTGCTACAGCCTGGACCCTGAACTTCCGCATCCTTTGCCTGGGTTTGCACAAATGCAGGAGCCTGCGCTACTCGGCCTTTCTCCCTTTGCTCCAGGCTGACTGTCGCCTCTGCTGCGGGGTCCGGGGGGACATGACGTGGGTCCCACACTGAGGCCAGCCCAGTCACTGCACCTCCAGAACAGAACACCACTCACAATGGAAAATGCATCTCAAAATGGTCCATGTTCTGCGTGAGGTCTTAGAAGCCCCAGAGCAGCCCTGACTGGTGTGGCTCGGTGGGAGCGTCATCCTACAAACGGAAGGCCACGGGTTCGATTCCCGCTCGGGGCACATACCTGGGTTGCGGGTTTGGTCCCCGGTTAACCGATTGGCCAACTATTCTACTCTTCTTTAAAACCCTCACGGAAACTGCTGGTTTACAGAGCAGGCTGAGGGAGAAAGCAGAACCGCTGCCAGGGTGACTGCAGGATTTGCACGGAGTTTCGGGAAAAACAGGGGAAGGTCGATCCTTTTTCATTGCCTATTTCCTACAGCAAAATGTACCGGTTTTTTAAAAATCTACAAAAACACCTGGGGAAGAAAGTGTCGTATCAATATCAGCACCGTTGTCCATCGGAGTGCCTGGCTCGAGGGCCTTCCCACACACCGTTGCAGCGACTTAGGATCCAACAAGGACAAATGCAAACCGGAAGTCACACAGGGGGCAGAACGTCGTGAGAGAAGTCCCGATGCGACACTGCTGTTTCTGCCACCCCAAGTTACTCCTGTCCTGGCCTTTCCGCTTCGCAAACCGGGGTACCGGGGTAGGGCAAAGCTCCACACTGGGAGCCGATGACCTGGAGGAAACCAGGAGAGGAACAGCACCACCTGCAGGCAACCGTCGGAAGAGCAGCGGCTCCTCCCCGGAAAGCAACGAACGTGGAGCCTCTACTGCGGACGCACTGCACGTGAGCAAAACAAGCCTTGGTCCTGAGGGCTCTCAGCTCTGGAGGGGAGATGAGCAGAATCCACGGGGCACAGGACTGCACGCACGGCGCCCTTCCTTTTCTCTGTCTCTTCAGCCGCCCACCGCGTACTGAGGATGCAAAGCCCACCCGGATGGCCTGGCATTATGAGGGACTTGGGGACCCCAGCAAACAGCAGCCGCAGTCGAGCCCCGCCCCTGCCTTCCAGTCCCCCTGAATGTCTGCCGCGCCCCTAACACACGGTCGCTACTCTGAGCTAGTGCCTCCGCAAACCTGGAGAACCTCCGTCGTTTGAGAGCTCACTTAAGTCACTTAAGCTCTTCTCTCCTGAAATCCACCTTTGCCATGCTGACCGGTGCGGCTCAGTGGGTTGGGCATCGTCCTGCAAAGCGACAGGTCTGGGGGTCGAGCCCCAGTCACAGCAAACCCCTGGGTTGCAGTCCAGGTCCCCAGTTGGGGGTGTGCAAAAGGCAACCAATTGATGTATCCCACACGCGGGTGTTTCTCTGCCTCTCTTTCTCTGTCCCTTCCCATGTTTCTAAATAAATAAATTTTTATAAAGATCCGTCCTTGGCACCCACGATTCCAGGGGACCCCCTGGCTCCTTTCCTCAATGCTCCATAGACGGGGCGGGCCCTGATAAAGTGTTCACTCACACTATAGTGCTGTTCAGTTGACATTTTTCTCCCCACCTGTTCTAGCTCTTCAAGAAAAGAAACTACATTGCATTTACTTCACTACATCTTTGGAGACTAATGTACTTCTTCCTTTCTTTTTTTTTTTTTTTATTTGAGAGAGAGAGAGAGAGAGACACTTATTTGTTCCACTTATTCATGCCTTCATTGGTTGCTTCTTACATGTGCCCTCACTGGGGATCGAACCCACAACCTTGGCGTATTGGGACAACGCTCTAACCAACTGAGCTACCTGGCAAGGGCCAGTAGTTCTCCCATTGGATGTCCACCATTACATACTTATTCAACTAATATTTGTTTACAGCATCACCCCTGAGGTCCTCTGAAGCTCGACCACGCTTCTGGCCAGAAGGGGGCGTGGAGGAGAGAAGACAGGAGGTCGCCTCCTTCCTCCGCGGCATCAACCTCAATGCCTGCCTTTCCCACTAACCCGATGCTACACTGACACCCCCATGAGCCCTCTGCCACCCTGTGAGCCCCCTGGGCTGCCCTCCTCTGAGTCCCTGGCTAATCGTCCCCCTCCTGTCCCTCCAGTGGGCACGACCTCCCACTCAGCTCTTGGATGTCCCAGCACGAGCGGCCATCCTGGAGCCCACACATGGTGGGGAGCCACACACATGAGCAAAGCGCTGCTGGGCAGGCCATGGACTGCTGCTGGGCCTGGACCGAGCCTGTAAGAGCCCGAGCAGGGCCGCGGGTGCGCCTCCACTGCGGTCTTCTTGGGCTCACCTTCTCCGCCACAGCGTCCGTCTAACACCTGCTTAGATACTGCCACCTAGGACCCTGACCAGGCCTGGTCCTTGGCCTGCTGAGCCCAATTTATCAAGAGTCCGCCCTGGCTGGTGTGGCTCAGTGGATTGAACGCCAGCCTGCAAACAAAAGATCACGAGTTTGATTCCCAGTCAGGGCACATGCCTGGGTTGCAGGCCAGGTCCCCAGTTAAGGGTGTGAGAAGCAACCAGTTGATATATATCTTGCACATTGATGTCTCCCTTTCTTTCTCCTTCCCTCTCCCTCTCTCTAGGAAAGAAGGAAAGAAAGAAGGATTCCCCCAGCTCTGCCCTGGCCGGTGTGGTGCAGCTGGTTGGAATGTCCTCCCGTAAACTGAAAGGCTGTGGGTTCGATTCCCAGTCAGGGCACATACCTAGGTTGCAGGTTTGGTCCAGGGTTGCAGCGTGTATGGGAGGCAACCAATCGACGTTTTTCTCCCACGCTCTCTCTCCCCGCCCCCTTCCCCTCTCTCTAAAATCAATAAGCACGTCCAGGGACGAGGATTTTTTTTTTTAAAGTCCCTCAGCTCCTGAAACTCAGCCAGGTTCCCCATAGTGATGGTCCACCCTCTCCTCGCCCACCCGTTGTCTCCAGCTGCCTGGCTGCCTGCCGTATTCAGAGTTGAGCTCAGTCCCCTTTGCAGTGGTCTTTCCTGCCTATTTAACTCTATCCGCTGCAATTTTTGACAAACCAAACGGTAAGCGATAAAAAAAAAAAAAATGGGGCCCCTTTGGACCTATCTTCATGATAAAAATGGCAGCAACATAATTTGATCAAGTATGAAAGATTAAGGATTGATCAATTCAGGAAAACTGTAAACCTATCTGGTACTTAAAATACTGGTAAATACTGGTACTGGTAAAATAAAATGTATTTTTTTTTCTCCAGCGTTCAGGGCTGAACCAGCAAACAAATGCCCGTAACTTCCAGAGCGGTGCTGGCCAACAGAATTCTCCGTGATAACAGAAATGTCTCCTACCTGGGCCTACGCAGTGCCACTAACGAGTGTGGGTAGTGAGCACTTGAAACGTGGCTGGTGTGAGGAAATGAAGCTTTAATGCTCTTTATGTCATTAATACTGATTTAAATTTAAAGGGCCACAGGCTACCATATCAGACAAGGTGTTATAGTTCTGGAACAGTCTAAAGACCTTAGGGTGCATGTGGGGAAGATGGGAGGGGGCGGAATGTATTTCAAATATGTTTAATGATTTCAGAGAGAGAGAGAGGGAGGGAGGGAGGGAGAAACATCGATGTGAGAAACATCAATTGGTTGCCTTCTATGCGCCTCCCAAACAGCGATCAAACCCGCAACCTTTTGGTTCACGGGACAATGCTCCAACCCACCTGGACAGGGATTTTTTTTTAATATATTTATTGAAATTAGAGCAAGGGTAAGGGAGAGAGGGAGAGAGACATCGATTGAATATTTAATGCAAAGTGTTTTCTTGGCAACTTCTGGGAGCCCAGGGTTCTACGTTCAGAGGACTTCAAAGTGATGCTGTAAACAAATATCAGTTAAATATCTGCTGGAGACACCTGATGTGAGAACTACATTAGTATCCAGAGACGTGGAGAAATGAATGACATGTAGTTTCTTTTCTTGAGGAGCTAGAACAGGTGGGGAGAAAAACGTCGACCAGACAGTGCTACGGTTTGAGTGATCACGTTGTCAGGGTGTGTCCGGTCCACGGGTCATGCAGGATGAGGTGGTAAATGGACCGTATGTCCAGAGAGAAGGAAAACAAAGGAGGCAGGGGGGAAGCTATCGTCTGCTGCTTCACCTGCTTGAATAGAACCTGGCTCACTGACCGTTTTTCCTCTGCCTACGGACCCAGGAGCCTTGGCCGGGCCTCCCTGGACCAGCGCAGACAAAGAACCTCAGACGCCCACAATCACAGCCACTTCCTATTTCTGAAACAAACCCCGCAGTTACTGGGGTGACACACGAGTCATTCAAGTTCACAGCAGCAGCAGGCCAGGCGGCTTTGTTCATTCTGAAATTTTTTTTTTTAATCTTCACCCTAGGACAGACTTATTGATTCTAGAGATGGGGGTAGGGGGGAGGAGAAACATCGATTGGTTGCTTCTCACACGCACCCCGACCAGGGATCGAACCCGCAACCCAGGCATGTGCCCTGACAGGGAATCGAACCCGTGACCTTTTGGTTTACAGGAGATGCTCCAATCCACTGAGACACACCGGCCAGGGCCAGCTTTATTATTCTTCAGCTAAAGGACAGCCCTGCAAATGCACTTGCTGTTGACACATAGAGCCCGGGTGTCTGTCACCCAGGCCCCTCACAAGCAGCCCAGTCCATCCAGGGGTCAGGGAGGGAGGGTGCAGGGGCCCTTGGTCACGGGGACAGCCATGACAACACCCATACTGGCTTCTGAAACCCAGTCTAGACCACTCCCGGCCTCAGCCTGCACAGGAGGTCCGAGCTCCGGAGCACAGCCAGCCTCCCCTCCCCACCTGGGGACATCAGGAGGAACCAGTGACCTCTGCAGTGTCCGCCCACCCTGCTCCCGCCCCCCCCCCCCGCCGTGATTGGACCCAGATGGCTCCTGCCTCCCTCCCCAGCCAGGCCAAGGCAGCTGAGCTTGAATGAGGTCATCGGCGAGGTCCTGATCTGACAGGATTAGTGTCCTCAGAAAAAGAGGCACCGGCCCTGGCCAGGTAGCTCAGGGGGTTAGAGCATCATCCCGATGCACCAAGGTTGAAGGTTCGATCCTGGGTCAGGGCACATACAAGAAGCAATGAAGGCATCAATAAGTGGAAAAACAGATCGATGTTTCTCTCTCTCTTAATCTCTCTGTCTCCCCCTCCCCTCATCTCTCTCTCTCTCTCTAAAATCAATACATTATAAAAAGAGAGAGACCAGAGAGCTTTCTCTTTCTTTCTCCACACACCAAGGAAAGACCTGTGAGGACGCAGCAACCATGTACAAGCCAGGGAATGAGACCGCACCAAACACAAAACCAGCCACAGCTTGACCCTGAACTCCCAGCCGCCAGAACTGAGACATAAACAAGCTAGTTGAAGCCCAACGATCTGCGATAATTCACTGTGAGCGGTGACGCACACGCTCGGAGTGTCTACCTACACAACACACCTGCCTTTTCACAACAAACTGAAGCAAGAGAAAGCACAACGTGAAGAAACCAAGCAATCACCAGGTCTAGAAAACAGATAGGAAAAGAACCAATAAACTTGAAAATGGATCAGTAGAAATCGCCCAAAGGACGTGGGGAAGGAGGCCACGGAGCAGCATGTTGCAGAGCGGTGGGGACACTGGGCCCTAACCAGATGTGACACGCGGGCAGCCGGCGGCAGCGCTGCCTGGGGAACCTCGCCACCCACCCCACCCCTCATCGCGGGCTCCCTAGCGCTCCTTCCGCCTCGGTCCTGAGGCCGCGTCTTTCCTTAGCATCCTGAGGGCCTCTGCTGTGACGCTGGGCAGCGCTGGGGACAGTTCTCGGTGTCTCTTGGCTGTGTGGCTCGGCCGTGGGCCACCGTCCAGCTCCCGCCCGGCGCTCGGTTCAGATACAGTAGCTCTCCTGTGGCGACACGGCCAGCAGCTGCCAGACCTTCCCTTCGTCCGGATACAGGCTGAACGCGACCTGCAACAGGCAGAGGCATTTCCGGACGGTGAGCGGTGTGGGCGCCGCAGGATTTGCGCCGTTCCCACACCCCGCCACCCCGCGCAAATAAAGGGTGCACTTGGTACGACCCCTGACGTGAGACAACCCGCGGGCAAGCTCTCTGCCTTCGGCGGAGCAGAACCAGCCAGGTCGTCAGGGTCTCCCCCGTGGGACTTGGGACAAGAGCAGCGCAGCGTCGCCAGCCCAGGCCTCCCACGCGCCCTCAGCTTCGCCCCCACGGGAACAGTGGCCCCAGCGCAGGGCCCTGCCGCCCGGCCCACAGCCGAGCTGGGCACCGTACTCACGGAGCACATCACCACGAAGGCAAACAGGCCTATGACCTTCAGCCACCGCGCACAGCGCCTGCAGAGAAAAGGCAGGCCCAAGTCACAGGTCCGCGGCGCGACCCCGTGCTCGTGCGCCCAGACCTGCCAAACCGCGGGCACCTTTCCGAGGCCCCGGAAACCTGACCCTCAGCGCCCGCGTTTGGGATTCTCTCCATAGCGGGGCGGGAAGGATCACACCGTGGGCTGTGGGCCCACCTACTGCCGGGTGGCAAGCGACTTGGTGGGGGGGGGGGGACTAGAGCAACGAAGTTAACCCCAAGTGTTTGCACAAGGCTTCTTGCTGGAGACGCTCCCACGCTCCAGGCCAAGACTTGAAGCCTCAGTGTCCTGGCAACAAGCTCTATCTGGCCTCTCAGATTTGTCTTTGTCAATCATTTTCCTCTGACTTTTCTGCAAGGCGGGGCTATAGATTTGATCATCACATCTACAAACGCCCATAGGCAACCATTGATTCCAGAAGGAAATTGCACCATTGTCATGGGTTGTATCAGCAGAGTCTTTCAAGAATTTCTTAGGAGCCCTGGACGGATAGCTCAGTTGGTTAGAGCGTTGTCCTGATAGGCCAAGGCTGAGGGTTCGATCCCCAGCCAGGGCACATCAGGGCACACACAAGCAGCAACCAAGGAATGCATCAGTAAGTGGAATGACAATTTGACGTCCCCCCCTCCTCCCGCCCCCACTCTCACATTCTTAGGAGATAATTTAGAGACAATCAGGCACAGGCGACCATGGCCCCGAGGCCTGAGATGAACCTGGGCCTAGGCACCGCCACCCCGCCCCCCCCCCCCTCACCAGAACCCAGTCACCTTCCAGCCTTAGGGAGCGCCCCGCGCCCCCCCCCCCCGCGCTCCTGGAGGGCGGAGCCTGGGCTGTGTATGCGCTCTCCCTGAATTTAAAGGGCCACTGTCCCTGGGCCCATGCGTGACCCACGTTTGCAGAATGAAGGAAGTGTATGTTGCGACATCCTTTTTCAAAACCTTTCTGATCCTTCCAAAATGGTAACGCCTTGTTTTGCATTCTCTTAGATTTAAAGGACTTGATGCCCATCATTTCACATCTCCAAATTATGATTCAAACACTTCTATGTAAATGGGCATGAAAAGGACCTTCTTTTGAAAGTACGAAGCATTCATTGAACTGTTCTACATACAAATTTCTTAATGACGATCCAAAATATTTTTTTACAGGCTTCTTCAACGACCGCGCAGGGGACTCTCTAGCCACATGAAAAAAGAACGGCCCTGGGGCTTTTCGTTCAAGGCAACTATTTCCTGGAGCAAAGAAGATAAAACAACCACTGAATGTCAAATCAGAAATGTATTTGATTCTATTTTGCCTCCACGTGGGACAGAGGAGAAAGCTGCCATCTTCTGCAGCTGTGAGCCAGCCAGCTGGGGACAGGTGTTGCCATCCCGGCCACCCTTGGGGCCAGATCCGTGAGACACGCTTTCCCATGATTCACAGACCCTCAGAGCTGATTCGCCAGCCAAGTACTAGGCACGCCTACGAGGGGGGCTGAGGCTGGTTCTTGTGCGGTGGCTCCACGTGGCTGGGACGCTGGTGGGTCCAGATGTGACCGTGGTCCAGCACCAGCAGGGGGCCTGGCGTCACCTTCTGACCCCAGCTGGGCTCACGGGGCCTGCATGACCTCAAGCAAAATCATAACCCTCCTGAGATCCTTTCTGTCATCTTCCTTGGCCGGGAGGATCACAGGACGCCAGAGAAAGGGCACTTTGGGTACAGACGCGTGCCCTTTAGGCATTCACTGCGTCCTGCAAACAGCTTCAGCAAAGGCCGGTCCCCTGATGCCGGGATGCGGTGACGCTCATGCTTGACAGCTGCATAGGGTCTTCTCGTCCGTCTGTGGGCCTTCGCGCTCCCCACGCCCGTGGAAGCCCATGGAAGGCCATGGATCAAGGAGGACACCAGGTGACAAGGAGCGCGTCACAAAGACATGGCTGTCCCTCTGGCCCCTCAGCCACCTCAGATCGGGAATGCGGACCCAGCGGTCCTGGCCCCCAACCTCAGTCTGTCCCTGGAGATGCCACTTTTAAGCACGTCGTTCTCAATAGGATCCTTCCTTCATATAAATGTGCATATGGGGACCCACAGCAGTGGCCACAGCTCAGGGCCACCCAGCGTGCCTTCCAGGAAAAGCGTGAAAACCCCTCCCTCACCTTCACCGTGCCGGCTGGGAAGGGCGTCATGAGGGCGAGACCCCAGCCTCTTCCCAGACCTGCGGGCTGCCCTGTGCGACCATCGCGGCCCTCCCACCCCCGCCACATGGGCACTCCCACACCTCCTACCTCAGCTTCGAAAGGCGGAGCCTGGCGTGAGCACCTTCCAGAAGGTCCCCCTTGTCTGAGGAGGCGGATCTGGAGGAAGCAGCTGCCTCGCTGCCCAGCAGCGACCTCCCCTCCCACTCGGCTGAGCTGTTGTCCCAAGAATCCTCGGCAGTGACGAACTCCGGCGGGTAAACGCGCAGGCTCCGCGACCTGCAAAGCAACATCTGGGGTTATTTTCACAGACAACAAGGCTGCATCTCAGCGGCGGCGTGTGAAACGTAGAGTTCCTCCTGGCTTTGGAGGAGACCGCAGATGCTGTGGGGCTGTGCCTGGTCCCTCTGCACGTCACAGAACACTTGGCTCAAGGGACGTCTGGAGTCACTCGAATCTTCAGAATGAATTGGGGGCCTTCACGAAACATCGGCTTGGCCCTGACTGGGTAGCCCAATGGGTTGGAGCATCATCCCGCTACACCAAGGTTGCGGGTTCGATCCCTGGTCAGGGCACATACCAGAATCAACCAATGAGTGCATTAATAAGTGGAACAACAAATTAATGTTTCTCTCTCTTTCTCTCTTTCTCCTTCCCCCTTCTTCTCTCTCTTTAAAAATCGATCTTAAAAAAAGAAAGGAAAAAAGAAACATCAGCTTGTTCCGAGCTTAGAACTTCCCAATAGAGCTGCTCCTGGCTCCAGCCGGTCGTCACTGCCGACTTGGAGTCCCGCTGCGCAGACACCCTGCTCTGTGCCGGCATCTCCCTGCAGTGGGACAGTAGGGAGGAGGGTCTCCCAGCCCTCCCACCCCACATCCACATGAGGAGGAGCAGGAGCAGGCAATGCCAGTGCTGGGCGACACAGGCCCAAGAACCAGAGCCAAACATAGGATGCCTCAGGGGGAGCCGCACGTCCAGAATTCCACGTGCACGATCCATTTACTGTTGGTGGTGTCCCTGGGCTTCTGAGCAGTTGGCTCAGCACGGAGGCACTTAACTCTAGTAAGGTTGCAGCAAAGCCTAGACTTTGTGCCGCACGGAGTATTCCTGGGACCGCAAGGCTGACAGAAAACAGCCGTGATCTGTCAGAACAAGGGAGGCTCCTCGAAGTCAGCTAGCTCAGCAGGGTGCTGAGATTCTCCTGAACAGCTACTCTGCTTTAGGGCTGGACCATGGCAAGAGAGGAATCGTTTTGCCCTGGCATGCATGGCTCAGTGGGTTGGGCGTCATCCTGCAAAGCAAAAGGTTGTCGGTTCAATTCCAAGTCAAGGCACATGTCTGGGTTGCAGGTGTGGCCCCCACGTAGGGTGCATTCTGTCCCCAATCAGGGCTCATTCAAGAGACAACCAATCAATGTTTCTCTCTTACATCAATGTTGTTCTCCCTCTCTTTCTCCCTCCTTTTCTCTCTATAAATAAATAAATAAAATCTTTGAAAAAGAATAAGAGCCCTGGCTGGTGTGGCTCAGTGGATTGAGTGCCAACCTGCAAACCAAAAGGTCACCGGTTCGATTCCCAGTCAGGGCACATGCCTGGGTGGCGGGCCAGGTCCTGAGTAAGGGGCCTGTGAGAGGCAGCTGATCGATGTATCTCTCACACATCGATGTTTCTCTCCCTCTCTCTCCCCCTTCCCATCTCTCTAAAAATAAATAAATAAAATATTTTTAAAAAGAAAAAGAGAATGGTCTAACTCATAAGGAGATACCCAGAGAAACAAAGTAGGTTGGGAAAAACCAATACGCAACAAGAACAAATGATATGGACAGGGCGGGAGCTTGGAAAATCATCTTTTCTGAGAATTTTGTGACCTGGAACTTCCCGGGCTTGTGAGGAATAAGACCCTCAACTTCTGAGCCAACACAGCTGGAACTCAAACTGGAACTAAGGAAACCGCTTTCTTGGAAGTAGAAAGAGGAGCGTTCATGTCCGTGATCTGAGCGGCCCCGTGCGACAGGGCCTTCTGTGTCTGTGGGAAGGAAAGTTCTCTGCCTCGTCCAGCTCGGCAGCCGCGTGTGCTCACTGGCCACTTGAAATGTGCAACCGCAGGACTGAATTTGCATTTTATTCATTTTCCTGAATTTAACTGTGAGTAACTACATGGAACAAGCAGACACCATGTTGGTCGGTGCCAACGCAGGGCTTGCTCTGGTCCCTGTCCCGTTAGCTGTCTGCTTCTGCCCTCACATCCTGCAAAGGATATGTTCTCTCCTGAAAATATGGGAACCAATGGATGCGATCCTCATAAGCCACTTGATCAAATTAAAACTGCAGCAATGCGCCCCTGTGTTCGTTGCAGCATTACTTACAATAGCCAAACTCTGGAAGCAACCCAAATGCCCATCAAGAGACAAGTAGATAAAGAAGATGTGGTACATTTATACGATGGAATATTACTCAGCTGTTAAAAAGAATGAACTCTTCCCATTTGCAACAGCACGGGTAGACCTAGAGGGTGTTATGCTAAGTGAAATCAGCCAGTCAGAAAAAGACAAGTACCACATGATCTCACTCATATGTGGAATCTAAAAAAAATATGAACGAACAAACAAAATAGAAACAGACTCATAGACACAGAGAATAGACTGAGGGTCGCCAGAGGGGAGTGGTGTTGGAAGACTGGGTAAAAAAAGTGAAGGCATTAAGAAGTACAAATCAGGCCCTCGTTGGTGTGGTTCAGTGGATTGAGCACGGCCTACAAACTAAAGGGTCGTCGGTTCGATTCCCAGTCAGGGCACAGGCCTGGGTTGTGAGCCAGGTCCCCAGCAGGGGGCATGCAAGATGCAATCACACATTGATGCTTTTCTCTCTCTCTTTCTCCCTCCCTTCCCTTCTGTCTAAAAGTAAATAAATAAAATCTTTTTTTAAAAAAAGGTACAAATCCATAGTTATAGAATAGTCCCAGGGATGTACAGCACAGAGAATATAGTCAAGAATATTGTAATAAATATGTATGGTGTCAGGTGGAGGCTGGGAATATCTAGAGGATCACTTTGTAAGTTCTATAAATGTCTAACCACTATTATGCTGTACCCCTGAAACTAAGACAAAATAACATTAAAAGTCAACTATAAGTGAAAAAAATTTTTAATTAAAAAAAAGGCAACAGAATTAAATTCCCAAAAAGAATAGCATTAAAAAATCCTGCCCATAGCCCTGACTGGTGCGGCTGAGTGGGTTGGGCGTCTTCTAGCAACTGAAAAGTCGCTGGTTCGATTCCCGGCCCAGGCACGTGCCTGGGTTGTGGGCCAGGTCCCCGGCGCAAGGTGTGCGCCAGAAAAAATGATTGATGTTTCCCTCTCTTTCTCCCTCCCTTCCCCTCTCTCTAAAAAAAGTAAATAAAAATTGTTTTTAAAAAATCCTTCTCACCACCCACACTTCAGTGAGCTTCATGCAAGAATAAAGAAAGGAAACGTCTGGGAAACCGCGAGGCGGTTTCTGCGAGGCTGGGCCCCGCCCCCGGGGGCCTCCGTGCCCCGCGTGCCCAGGACTGACACACCCCCCAGCGGATTCCCAAGGAATCGTCAGTTCTAAGATGTCTCGGGCCTTAACGGTTCACCAAGTGGATCCAAAGGAAAACATTAGGGGACTGGACGTGCCAAGGGTTTTCAAAGCCATCAATTCGGAGAGGCGGCGGGGAATTAAGTTATCCTCGGTGGCAGGGGCGTGCTGGCCCGTGGCACCGGGGACGAGGAGGACGCGGGCTGGCAGCCGCAGCGGCGGGTAAGTCAGGGCCAGCGCCGCCTAAGGGCAGAGTGTGGCGCTGAGAGCGCAGAAGCAGCGCAAGCTCTTTGGGGGCAGGGCCGGAGGGGTGGGGAACTGGGTTGGGGGCAAATGAAGGCTTCACGAAGGAGGCGACATGTGAGCCCCCTTGAACTTAAAGGGACCGGCCTGGAGGGCAAGGAAGGGGAGGAAGTTCCCCTGGTCAAAGGGTTGGGGGGAGCGGAACTTCTGCAGAGAAACACAACTTGTCATCAAGATTCTCCAGGGGGCAGCCCTGGCCGGAGGGCTCCGTTGGCTGAAGCGCCGTCCTGTGCCCCAAAACGTTGTGGGTTCAATCCCCCATCAGGGCGCATACCAGGGTTGTGGGGGTTGTGGGTTCGATCCCTGGTCAGGGCATGTACAGGAAGCAACCAATCAATGTTTCTCACATGGATGTTTCTTTCTCTCTCTCTGAAATCACTACACATGTCCTGGGATGAGGATTTAGGGGGGGAAAAATGCCCAGACAGCACCAAGGTCCCCGCCGCCCCGCCCCACCAGCTGGGAAGCCCTGGCCTGCAGTCAGCTGTATGCGCACCTGCTGACCCCTCCTGGCAGGGTCATGCCCAAGGTCATGTGGAAATCCCTAAGCCCGCAGGATTCAGGCACTAGAGTCAGGAACAGCTGTGACCTCGAATTGACAAGGAACTGGCAGGGACCCAAGATGTCGGAGACAGGTTCACGTCTAAAGGAGAACTTGTCCAGCCAAGGACAGAGCGCAGAGATTCCTTCACCCTGGCAGAAGGGGGACAAACTCACCCTTTGTCCTGTGAGGAATTCCTCAGCAAAGGAGTGCTCTCCGTCAAGCAGGGCTCTCGGCACCGGGGACTGACGAGCTGGGGCACAGGCGCGTGAGACCTGGAAGACACGGGGAAAGGGGACGGTCACCAGCGCTGGGGTGCGCCCGGCGGCAGGGCGGCCAGAGCCGGCGGCGAGCCTTCCGGGGCGATCAAAGGCGGGTCTGCGCTGGGAAAAGCTGCGGTTTCCGGGGAGCACGTGGGAAACAAACCCCCCTCCCCGTGCAAACCGGGCTGGAAATGCACAGCGGGAACGCGAAGCGGACCAGACGCTGCGGGGCCGGGCGTGCTGTTAGACTCCCGTCAGCCCTCGCGGTGGTTCCAGCCAGACGTATCATTCCAGGCAGAGCTTCCCATCCACAAGCCTGTTCGTTGTTTGATGGGCCCTGTTCTGCCCAGAAAATTCTATTTCCTAAGATCGCAGTGTTTTAAATATCACGCATTGAAAGGCTCCTCATGGTTTCCCTCGGGGAACCAGGCAGCAGAAGTCGGGGCCAACGGAGTCATAATGAAATGAATGAGGGACCTGCTTGATTAGAGCAAAGTCCTGATACGCCAAGGTCACCGGTTCGATTCCCACTCAGGACACATACGAGGATCAACTTTTGAATGCATCAGTAAGTGGGTGGAACAACAAATCGATGTTTCTCTCTCTCTCCCCCTTCTTCTCTTTAAAATCAATACATTTTTTAAAAGTAAAAATAAAAGAGCCTCAGCTGGTGTGGCTCAGGGGACTGAGTGCCGGCCTGTGAACCAAAGGGTCGCCGGTTCGATTCCCAGTCGGGGCACACACCTGGGTGGCAGGCCAGGTCCCCAGTAGGTCCCCAGTAAAATTTAAAACTTTTAAAAAAAATTTTTTAAAAAGAAATGAAAGGGGCGGGATGTTCTCCAGGGGACAGAAGCCGCAGCGTAAGCAAAACAAAGGTCCACGCCCCTTGGGGTGCCCCTCTGCCGTGCTGGCCTGTCCCCTACGGGAGGGGCCACCACACACCCATCCAAAGCACGAGCTATTCCAGAGGAGGGTCACTGCAGTCACAACGGAGCCCACCAGCACGTACGGTCACCCTCATCAAAGGACGCCTGACTTTATTGTTGACACTATCACAGACGTCCCTCGTTTCCTCCCTGCTTTGCCCACCTCCACCCCGCCCACGGCCCACCCCCCGCTTTCACCACATTGTTGTCTGAAGGACACATGGCATTTAGAGGCAACCAGTTTTTCATGAGAAGTCCAAAGAACCATATTCATTCCTAATTATTGGGCATATGTCATTTTATTTTATTGATTTAAGAGAGAGATCGATTAGTTGTCCCACATATGGATGCATTCATTGGTTGCTTCTTGCATGTGCCCTGACCAGGAATCGAACCCGCAACCTTAGTGTATCAGGGCAATGCTCTAACCAACTGAGCTAGCCAGCCAGGGCTGGGATCAAAAAAAGCCTGGAATTTATTTATAGAAAACTGTATATTTATTACCTGTTAAACTTCAGTCACCTTCAAAGCACTATCCATTTGATGCAATACACCTATTGAGACATTTTGTCCACTGTTCAAAACAGTATTTGAAATTGTCAATTTTGATGCCTTTTAGTGCCTTTTTTGTTTGTTTGACCTCTTCCAACCTTTGCACATCAGCAAAATATTTCCCTTTGAGGACTTTTTTCATCCGGGGAAACAAAAGTAAATCATTTAGAATGAGATCGGGTGAGTAGGGAGGGTGGGGCATGGGGGTCCTGCTGTTTTTGTCAAAAACTGCTGAACACTCAGCGCAGTGTGGGCAGGTGCGCTCGTAAATCACCCATCATGCAATAGGCAAACGCATTGGTAGAGTCTTAAAAAAAAATTCACCAAAGCCGAACGCAGCCTCTCACCACAACACCAGCTAATTCCGCTGATACCGATGGGTGTCTGGAACACTCACCTAGCGGGGGAAGCCTGGACTACAAGGGGCCCGCCTCCAGAAGATAATTCCAGTTTTTTGGGGTCCCCCCATAGCTCATTTTATAAGCGAGAACATTGCCTTTCCTGACAAAGCCCAGGCCACACACAGCTGCCAGGATGCTGTGAAACACTGACTTGGGGAAATAATGGTGACTCACACCAAAAATACAAAGCAAAGTGGAAATTTGAAGGAAAAAAATTTTATTTATTTTTGAGACACAGAGAGAGAGAAGGGGAGGGAGAAACAGCAGTTTGTTGTTCCACTTCTTGATGCATTCATTGGTTGATGCTTGTTAAGTGCCCTGACCGGGGATCGAACCTGCAACCTCGACATATGCTCCAACCAACTGAGCCACCAGACCAGGGGTAAAGAAAAATATTTCCAATCACTCTCTTTTCCTCATTCAACCTGTGACACAGACCATAAGACTCTGCTCTCACGGATGAATGAAGCCAGAGCCCCCGGCTTTGTCTGTCCCAGGCCAGCAAGGGTCCAATGGGCACAGCCTCTGGGCAGCCTTGGGCACTTCCTACAGGAACACAGACGGCTGAGGACCCTGTCGTCCTGGGCTTTCACGGGGTGCACCAATGCCCCACCCAGCAGCAATGAGAGCAGAGAACCGAAGATGAATTCCGCCTGGGGATTTCATACTGAGAGCACTTTGTGCTGTTCAAACTGGCCTAACGCTTTAGTTGGGCTTTTTTTTTTTAATCCTCACTGGAAGGTTTGTTTTTATTGATGAGAGGAAGGGGAGGGGAGTGGAGAAGAGGGGAGGGGAGGGAGGGGAGGGGAGGGGAGGGGAGGGGAGAGACAAATGTCAATCGATTGCCTCCCATCCGCCCAGACCGGGGATCAAACCGGCAACCTTCTGTTCCACGGGGGCGACACTCCAACCAACTGAGCTACCCAACCAGGGCTTTAGCTGGGCCTCTTAAATCTCCCTCTCTCATAACTGCAAACCCAAAGGGCCTCAAGTGCATTTAGATATGTGTCTCAAAGAATCAACTAATATCTGGGTGTCTCTGCCCCGCCCCCCGCCCCGGGCGGCTGGTACTGCGCGTTTCTGGGAGAGCTGGCGGTAACCCGACCGCGCTCTCGTGATTTACCCACCCTGAGCTTCCATTTTCTCAGTCATACGATGTATATTGCAGGGGGGGAAAGCCAGTTTTGTTGCATGAGCTAAAGAGATGCAAATGGAAAACAGAAAGATAGAGTCTGGCTGTTGATTCCATGATTTCCATTGGACTGGGCGCCCCGCGTGAGTGGTTGCTATGTTATTTCCACCACGTTTTATCTGGCACCTTAGGTGGTACCCAGGTCATTGTAGGTCCCTAATAAATACTTCATAATGAGTGAGTGAAACCCCAGTCACCGTAGCTTATTTGAATGAGATTGGCTTTTTGACGCAAATAAAACAGTTTTCTAAACCATGAAATCAATGATGTGCTTACAGAGACCCCTGGGCCACGGACCTGCAAAGAGCCCTGAGCAAGTACCGCCCACCGGCTCTCGCGTGGCTCAGGGCAGCGGCCCAATTCGCAGCGCGGAGAATTCACCTCCTTGCCCTGAAAGAGGAAAATTCCAAATGCGGAAACGTCAAAAGAACCTTTTATTTTCTCTGAGGGGGCCACAACTGGGTGATCTCATTACTGAACATTCCCGCTGCATTTTGCATACACCAGGTATTTTATAACTGTAGTAAAGTGCACAGGGAGTGTTTTCTAAGCTCCGTTATATTCAGTTATGTTTCTAAAGAGCCGAAAATATCAGTGAGTTTCTCAAGGAAATTTCCCAAAGAGACTTCAGGGTGTTCCAAATTGAAACTTAATTCGACACTGTCCAGATATTATTTTCTGTTGTTTGCTCACAGAATCCCTGACCGGCAGTCCTAGAGGATGGAGAACTCCAAACTGCACATAGAGAAGAGATGGCATTGCCCAAGAAACACGTTTTCCAGAGTCTGGAGATAAAAAGAGCAGTCATTGGCCCTGGCTGGGTGGCTCAGTTGGTCAGAGCATCATCCCAATATGCCAAGGTTGTCAGTTCGATTCCCGGTCAGGGTACATACAAGAATCAACCTAAGAATGCATAAACAAGTGGAATAATGAATCTCTCTCTCTCTTTCTCCAATCCTCTCTCTCTAAAACCAATCAATCAATAAATAATGGTACGGAATTTCCTAAAAAAACTAAAGACGGCACCGCCTTTTGATCCACCAATCCCACTGCTAGGATTATAGCCTAAGAATCCTGAAACACCAATTCAAAAGAACCTCTGCACCCCAATGTTCATAGCAGCATTATTTACAATAGCCAAGTGCTGGAAATAGCCTAACTGTCCATCAGTAAATGAGTGGGTCAAAAAACTGTGGTACATTTACACCATGGAATACGACACAGCAGAAAGAAAGAAGGCGCTCTCCTTCCCTTCGCGACTGCATGGATGGAACGGGAGAACATTGTGCTAAGTGAAATAAGCTAGGCGGTGAAAGACAAACACCATATGCTCTCACCTGTTAATGGAACCTAATCAGCAAAACAAACAAATAAGCAAAACAGAACAGGAGACATGGGAATAAAGGACAGTGAACAGTGGGGAGGCATGGAATGGCGGAAGGAAAGGGAAGGGGCAAGTCAAAGAAAATGAACAGAGGATTCATGGGCACGGACAATGGGTGGGGATTGATCGTGGGGGGGGCGGGGCAGGGGAGAGCAATGGGGAAAAAGGCGGGGCAAGTGTAGCTGAATAACAACTTAAGAAAATAGATAAAGGATCTCCTCTAGTCACAGAGACCAAAATAAACTGTGAACATATTAAATAAGTAATTGACCTTAAAAAATAAAATAAAATAAAATAAAATAAAATAAAATAAAATAAAATAAAATAAAATAAAATAAAAATGGCAGTCCTCAGAACTGAAAGCCTAGCATTTTCTTTTATGACCTGATTAAGGTAGAAAATACTGATGAAATCTATATCTTCCCTGACCTTTTCTCCTTCTGAAAAAAAGGAATCACATTGACATTTCTGACTTCACATCTAAGCCTGGGTGCTTTCAAAATTCACAAAGTTTAACAGTATCTATTTTCCCCTGTGAAGCCGGAAGAGAAATGTATCTGCCGGGAAGGACTCCTTGTGGTCACATGGACCCAAATTCATAGCCAGAGTCCAGCAGTCATTGTTGACACGCCTCTTACAGACGCTGCATTTCGGAGAGAAGCCACAGGCAGAGCTTCGGCCTCCTGCGCTGGGCTCCTGCCGACTGAATCAGCTCCTATAAGCTCCTGGTTTCCTCTTCAGCCAATGGACTGAAACATCCCTCCCCCTCACCCCGATCCAATCAGAACTGCAAAATTATATCCTCACTGGCACCTAAACCAACCAATCAGAAATGAACTATAACAACCAATCAGAACTGCATGATTTGGACCAATCAGAATTTTATGAATTTGGAAACCTCGTTTGCATAAAATTGGACCAGCTGGGAACCTGGGTGGGAGCTTTGTCTAAATTAAAGGCAGCCTCCCATCTGTTTCAAGGGGGCTCATTTTGTAAACTCTTTGCCTGGTAAATTTTCTCCTTTAATGCTCCTCTCTGGGAATTTTTGTCAATGCCCCCAGGTCTCAATAACTCTGTACGGATTTGCAAAACTGATAGGTGCTTGTAAGTTTATAAGTGGGTGATATTTATCTGTAATAACTTGAAAACTCCAGAAGAGGGGAACACATAAAACAGTTGTATATAATTCTATAATTTAGAGATAGCAGCTGTTAACCTCCTTCCAGTCCCTTTGTCTACATATAAGTGAGTTTTTTAAGTCAAGTTCAAAGAAAAAATCAAAATATACCGTGAGACAAATTAAAATGAAAACACAACAAACCCAAATCTATGGGACACAGCCACAGCAGTTCTAAGAGGAAAATTCATAGCAATACAGGCCTACTTAAAGGGGGGGAAAACACATAAAACAAAAATTCCAACAATACACCTAAAGGAACTAGAAAAGAATAAATAAAGCCTAAAGTAAGTAGAGAGAAGGAAATGTAAAAATGAGAGTGAAACTAAATGAAATAGAGTCTATAAAAAATATTTAAAAGGTCAACTAAACTGAAAGCTGGTTCTTTGAAAAGATAAACAAAATTAATAAACCTTCAGTCAGACTCATGAAGAAAAAAGAGAGAGGGCTCCGATTTATTGAAAATCAGAAACAAAAGAGCTGACGTGACCACCAAGACCACAGAAATACAAAGGATTATTTTTAAAAAATACTACAATTAAATGCCAACAAATTGGACAAACTTCTCATCCAAATTGGAAAGGAAGTGAAAGATTCTTAGAATAATACAATTTTCCAAGACTGATTCAGGAAGAAACAGAAAATTTGAACAGATAACTATTAACAAAATCAAATCAGATGGCCAATAGACGTATGAAAAGATGCTCAGTGTTACTAATCAGAGAAATGCAAATTAAAGCCACAATGAGTTATTATCACCTCATACCTGTCAGAATCAACAATAAATCAACAAACAACAAGTGCTGACGAGGATGTGGAAAAAAAGTGAACCCTTGTGCACTGTTGGTGGGAATGCAGGCTGGTGCAGCCGCTGTGGAAAGCAACAGCCAAGATATGAAAACATCCTATGAGTCCATGGACAGACAACTGGATAAAGAAAATTGGCACACGTAGGCAATGGAATATTACTCAGTCAGAAAAAGAATGAACTCTTACATTTGCAACAGTATGAATGAAGCTAGAGGGTATTGTGCTAAGTAAAATAAGTCAGACAGAGAAAGACAAATGCCACGTGAGTTCACTTATATGTGGAATTTAAAAAACAAAAGAAATGAGCAAACGAAACAGAGAGAGAGACTCATAGACACAGAGAATGAACGTATGGTTTCCAGACTGGGGAGAGTTGGGGGCTGGGTGAAAAAACATGATGGGACTGAGAAGTACAAATTAGCAGTTATAAAATTGTCACAGGGATGTAAATTACGGCACAGGGAATATAGTAAATAATACTGTAATAACTATATGTAGTGGCAGCTGGTGCTAGACGTATCGGGGTGAGCACTACCTAAGAAATATAAATGTATAACCACTTTGTTGTAAACCAGAAACTAATAGAATATTGAATGTCAACTGTAACTGAAAAATTAAAATTTTTTTAAAAACTAGAGCTATAGGCATTCACATGGCTGAATCTCAAAAACACGTTGAGGAAAAAGAGCAAGTCACAGTTTCACCATTTGCAAAACGAGAGCATGTGTCAAATAGTGATTCACAAACACGCATGCGCATTGGTGAGATGGTCTGTAGTTCTGGATGGGCCTAACCCTGGAGTAGGGAGGGGGTAGGACCGTGGCAGGGGGCGGGGCCATGCACACACTTTATGCATTTCTGTGATGCTCTGCGTGTGACAATGACAAACTGTTGGTGCGTAGATCAGGATTCTGGTTGAACAACAGCCCAGAGCAGGGGACAAGCCCACCCCTATCTGCAAGGTAACAAAGACACTCACAGGATACTACTTTTATATCTATTTATTGTTTTTGCGTTGGTAACTCTTGATGAGTTTATGAAAAGTTTTTCTTTCTTATGTAAATCCAGATTTTTCTGACATGAAAACCAATATTCAATTGATTAATTGATATATTTATAGTAATAAAATGATATATTTGTAGGAATAAAATATATCTGGGCCTATGATGTAATATGCTTTTAAATTCATGGAACACATTTAATGCCTTAAATAATACGGTAAATGCTAAATCTTCCTGCTAAAACTCTTTTCTATTTTTATTACCTTTTGAATATACATTAACCACATTTTAGAGGGAGCATTCCTTCAAGACAGGCCACGGAATAATGTGTGGCAATCTTTCCCACAAAAAATGCGATGGAGTTATGTTCATGGAAATGCAGTGTCTGTGAATTCTGATTTTACAAGATAAAACCATTTTAAACTCACCTCCGCTCCGTGAGGAAGGAACCAAACTCCTGGCCCACAGGAGCCCAGCAGCTCTGCCCGGCCGGCCCGCTGGGGTACGGGCTCAAGGGGCCCACCCCGCTGCCTCCCTGCTGTGGCCCCCGGTGGCCGGCGGCGAGTCCCAGGCCAGTCGGCGTGGGAGCAGACGTCTGATGGAGCTCCACTTCCAGGGCCCCGGAGGTCAACCTGCTGCCTTCCTTTTCCAGATGCATGGCCCGTTGTCACACTTCTCACTGCGGTCAGCCAGAAAGAAGCCACCATTAATGACAAGCATCCTGGGAATATCGTTTGCACGTTGGGGAATTGATACTTCTGAGCCAAACAACAGAAAGGCCTTTTTTGAGAGAATGAGAAACATCGATTTGTTGTTCCACTTACTGATGTGTTCATTGGTTGCTTATTGTATGCGCCCTGACTGGGGATCGAACCCACAACCTTGGCGTATCCTGATGACACTGTGATCAACTGAGCTACCCCGCCAGGTCTCTCTTAGAGTGAAGCCCACCCAATGTCCCAGCATTCCAATGTCACACAGGAGACAGTGTGTGCTCCTCTCTGAAGACAAACATTTTAGGCCACCAGCCTCAGTATTCAACAACTGGTCATTCATTAGGCAAGCCGTGATGTGTGCACATGACAAAATACGAGGCAACCGTGAAAATGCTCTAGAAAAGTATTTATTGATATTGGGGAATGTTAAGGATTGGGGCAGGGGGAATGTCGGTACTGGGGTATTTTTCTTGAGATGTATGTGTTGTGTGCATAGAACAGAATCCAGAAAGACCCAGCTTCCACGACGTGGCTCCCTCTGCTGCAGCAGAGTCAGGTGACTGGGGCCCTCTGGTTTGCTGTCCCCGGTTGCAGAGCGGTCCAGGGTCACTGTGAGCTTTGGTTGGGTGGGCGCTGCCGCAGTGAGGAGCAATGCGCATGCTCATGGGTGGACTGAGGACAGTTCACGACTCTTCCCCCGCTAGTCACCCCATTCACACAGTGGCTCTGAATGCCCCATGGTCACACATTCGGGAGGACCTGGGATGAGAGGAAATTCAAAGCGAGTACAAGTAAGTGGCTCATGTCTACACTGAGTATGTGGGGACGCTGAACGCCCGCGAAGCCACACTTCCTGGCGGAAGCAGAATTTCCTGTAGAAACAGGAAGGAAGCAGCACTTGGAAGAAACCCAGAGGGTGAAGGTAGTCTTGCTACTTCCTTCCTGAGACGATCTTCCTGCTTTAAGGCACCGTTTAGGATACAAAGGACTTATTCTCCCGTAGGCAGAAGGCTGGAGGCATTGGTCGAATGTGATCGTGTTAAAAAGAGAAATGGAAACATTCGAGTTAGTTCCACGCCATGTTTCCTTTGTCTGGTAAGAACAAAACACATACACACATGAGCTGCAGAATCAAAGTCTGCAAATTCTGTGATTTCACATACAAGTCAATATTCACATTTGCATTTTATTGAGTTGATGTTGCACAATAGAAAATGAGTAAAATTCATGCAAATAATTTCAATTTTTATTTTTATTTTTACTTATTTTTAGAGACGGGAAGAAAGAATCATCAATGTGTGAGAGATACATGGATCAGTGGCCTCTCACACATCCCTAACTGGCCCACAACTGAAGCATGTGCCCTGACTGGGAATCGAACCAGTGATCTTTCAGTTCACAGGCCAGTGCTCAACCGCTGAGCCACACCAGCCAGGCAATTCTTTTTACTCACCCAAGGATATATCCATTGATGAGAAAGAGAGAGCAATATTGATTTGAGAGAGAATATTGGTTGCCTCCCATATGAGCCCCAACCAGGGATTGAACCTGCAACCTAAGCATGTGCCCTGATCGAGGATCGAATCCTCAACCTTCTGGTATATGGGACAACACTCCAAACAACTGAGCCACACCAGCGAGGGTAATAACTTAAATTTTTATTTTTTCTTTCCTTAGAATAACGACATTAAAGAGCAATTTAAAAACACTATGACAAGTCGAGAGAGAGACTGGAAGAAGAGAAAAGCTTCCTCGTTTAGCGCTGGTAGGGACCCTTTTTCCTGCTTCCGGAACAAGGGGCCGCACGTGTTCATTCCGCACTGGGTCCCGCCAATTACGGCGTCCGTCCTGCTGGGCGTTTGGAGAGGTACCTACTTTCTCCACCGTCATCTTTAGGAGCTTCCGCAGACTCCGGCCGCCTGGGGACAGGCCACCAGAAGACACCTCCCACCCTGACAACGACAACAAACACCAACATGCTTCCTGGCTCCGTTCCTCCGTTCCTCCAAGATCTCAGTCCCAGCCCTCGGTCTGTGTCTCTCTGTCCGTTCATCGTTATTTTTGGCTGTGACACCTGTAGAGATGGTGCCCTCACAGCCCAGGCTCCTGTGTTATCCAAACACCCCCATGCGTCCCCACTCCCCCTTCTCAGCAGGGATTCCATGGTCCATCAAATGCCCTCTTAGTTACCGCTTCTTGCATTCTGTCAAGCTCTTCTGATGTCTGATAACACATTATCAGCCCTGGCTGGTGCGGCTCAGGGGATTGAGCGCTGGCCTGCGAACCAGAGGCTCGCTGGTTCAATTCCCAGTCAGGGCACCTGCCTGGGTTGCCAGGTTAAAGTCCCCAGTAGGGGGCGCACGAGAGGTAACCCCACATTGCTGTTTCTCTCCTCTTTCTCCCTCCCTTCCCCTCTGTCTGATATAAAATCTTTTTAAAAATTTTCACAAACGTGGAGCTTAAAACAGCACACTGATGACCTCAGAGTTTCTGTGGGTCAGGGGTCACAGGGACAGGCCTAACTGGGTCTTCTGCTTGTGACCTCAAGGCGGCGTCAGGTTTTGTTCTCATCTGGAGGCTCGGCTGGGGAAGAGTCCCCTTTGGGGCTCGCTCTGCGTTAGCAGAATCCACACGCTGGTGGCTGCTGGACTGGGGGGCCTGGCTTCTCCCTGGCTGTCAGCCGGGGGCCACGCTGAGCTCTCCGAAGCCACCCTCACCTCCTACAGGCCTCTGTGCCAGGTGGCTTTCCCTGCTCATGTCACCAAACACCAGCGAGAGTCTCCAGAGCGAGTGGACTGGCAGGATTTCATACAGTGTAACGTGATCCCGGAAATGACATCGCGTCCGCCATGTTGGGCATAGTCTATCGGCCGGAAGCCACTTGCAGGTCCCACCCTCAGGACTCAAGGGCAGGGGATCACACAGGAGCACGAACACCAGGTGGTGGGGATCCCGGGGCCACCCACAGCAAACCACAGCCCCGTCGCGCCCGCTCTGTGCCCCTGCTGAAGCAGCTGACTTGTCGTGGAGAAGCCGCGGACTGGCCTGGCCCCGCCTCTGCGTGCCCAGCGCTTCCCAGCATGCACTGCGCCCCCAGGGCGGCTCCCGCGCGCGCTCTCCCCAACGTCCCTCCTCGGCCCCCGGTGCAGCCTCCCTGCTTTTCAGTCTCGGCCGTGACCTGCCTCTGCCTTTTACACCGAGGAAATCAGCCAAGGCCTGAGAAGGCACTAGAAGCAATTCTGAGTATGGAAGCACAGAAACTGGTTCTGTGGGAGCTGCGCATGCTGGGAAACTAACCAAACGCCTGAGATGATTGACAGCAGCAGAACCCCCACGACCGAGGCTGAGGGGCAGAGGAAGACGGTGAGTGTGGAAACCATGGCGGGCCTTTCTGGAAGGAGCTGGAGCCCCTGAAGAGATACCCTCTAAAGCAGGGCAGAATGGGCAGAAGGACTGGCTTCTTCCTCCCTCCCTCCCCAAAGCTCCCAACAAAGCCTCCCTCTGGCCCAGCCCGGCGGGACCAGGGGCTCCAAGCTGGAACCAGACACGGAGATTTGAACAGAGTTCAGGGAAGAGCAAAAAGTCCCAGGACTGGCACAGTGACAAAACTAGAAGCGATGAGAAAAACAAAACAGCCAGTCTCCAGAGACCCACCTGCTTGCAGTCCTACTAGATGCACTGGTACCCGCCTGCTCTCTCCTGCTCCCACTGCCATTGTTGCAATTCTCCCCTTTTCCCCCTGAATCGCTCAGCAAGCTTGCAAACAGATTGTCGTATCTGCCAAGGCTAAAGGGGTGCGTCTCGGGACTTCTGCTCCCAGGAACAAAGAATAGACCTGCTTTTCCCACTTGGTCCCGCTAAGTATGATGAAAACCTGACATTTTATCTGAAACGCCCGTTAAAAGACTCTGAAACGTGGAGAGAAGGTGGCAAACCAATTAGGGACCCAAGAAATGATGCCACAATGAGGCCGCTGGGATTTGATTACCTCTCGCATACACCAGACAGGGTGGTGAAGAGGCCAGCAACCCGGAGCCTCCAACAGATGGAGGCCAAAAAAAAATCCCCCAAGAAACACCTGCCCCCTCTCTAGCCAAAAGAGTGGTAAAGGGGCAGCCTAGAAGTACAGGAAACTTTTAGACAATTGCAACTGTACTGCAGCCAAACACTGAAGGCCCTCATCCACCCAGGACAGTGAAGGGCAAGGGGAGAGCCCCAGTCCTACCCACACTGGGCTACCATAGGGGACCTATTCCCCATCCCACAGGGTGGCATCAGAGAGGGCAGGCAGGGAGCTGGGACACTCACCTCTGCCCCGCGCTTAGGGGTCCCGCTACTCCCCGCACGCACCCCACCCCCATGTAGGTGGAGGCCACAGGGATGGGGTCGACTCCACCTCCACACTGCAGTTGTTGAGATGGTGGTCAAGTGGAGAGTCAGGACTTTCGCTGCTGCTCAGTGGCAATGAGACCACCAGGGGGTGTCACTGGAGGCCACATGAGGAGGAGTAAGGAGGTGCCTTTCTCCCTCTCAGCAAGGCGGTGGCAACAGAGGCCCAGTGGGGGCCCAGTGGGGAGCTAGAGCTCCCACCTCCATCCAGCAATAATGGAGTCCTTCCCCATCTTGATGCCAACTGAGGCCAAAAGGGGAACTTGGACTTCTAACCGCAACTGGTAGCAACGAAGCAGCCCCCGGCCCTTCTGTTGGAGTGGTGCCAGAGAATCCAGCTGAACAGGAAGTTTAAGTAGGAATTAGAGCCTCGTGATGTTCAAAATATGCAGGTTTTAATAAAAAAAAAATCACCTGTCACAGTAAAAAAAAAGAAATGAACGTCTCAACTTGAAAGGAAATAGATGACAATACCAAGATGAGATATATTACAATTGTTTGGCAAAGATGTTTAAGGCAGCCAACATTAAAATGCTTCAACAAGAAACAACAA